ACTCAAAATGGATTAAAGACCTAAATCTATGACCCAATGCCATCAAATTATTAGAGAACATTGGGGAAACCCTACAAGACATTGGCATAGGCAAACAGTTCTTGGAAAAGGCCCCAGAGGCACAGGCAATCAAAGCCAAAATTGACAAATGGGATTATATCAAATTGAGAAGATTCTGTACTACAAAAGAAACACTCAGGAAAGTGAAGAGACAACTGACAGGATGGGAGAAATTATTTGCAAACTATTCAACTGATAAAGGATTAATAAGTGGACTATATAAAGAGATCAAGAAACTCAGCAGGGGCTGGTACTGTGGCAAAGCGGGTAAAGCTGCAGCCTCCAGTGTACGCATCCCATATAGGCACCGGTTTGAGTCCCAGTTGCTCCACTTCTCATCCAGCTCTCTTCTGTGGCCTGGGAAAGCAGTAGAAAATGGCCCATGTCCTTGTGCTTCTGCACCCACATGGGAGACCTGGAAGAAGTTTCTGGCTCCTGGTTTCAGATCGGGGCAGCTCCAGCCATTGCAGCCAATTGGGGAATGAATCATTGGATGGAAGACCTCTCTGTCTGCCTCTCCTTCTCTGTGTAACTCTGACTTTCAAATAAATAAATTTATCTTAAAAAAAAAAATTCAACAAAAACAACAAAAAAATCAACCCAGTTAAGAGATAGGCAAAGGACTTAAAGAGGTATTTTTCAAAAGAGGAAACCCAGATGGCCAACAGACACATAAAAAAATGTTCAGGATCACAAGCTATCAGGGAAATGCATATCAAAGCCACAATGAGGTTTCACCTCACCCCAGTTAGAATGGCCTTCATACAGAAATCAACAAACAACAAATGCTGGAGAGGATGTGGGGGAAAAGGTATCCTAATCCACTGTTGGTGGGAATGTAAACTGGTAAAGCCACTATGGAAGACAGTATGGAGATACCTCAGAAATCTGAATATAGAATTATAATATGAGCTAGCCATCCCACTCCTGGGAATTTGCCCAAGGGAAATGAAATCAGCATATGAGTTATCTGTACCTCCATGCTTATTGCAGTTCAATTCACAATAGCTAAGATATGGAGTCCAATCATTTGTAGACTGGATAAAGAAATTATAGGATATGTATACCAAGGAATACTACCAAAAAATGTAATCTGGTCATCTGCAACAAAATGGATGAAACTTGAAAACATCATACTTAGTGAAATAAGCCAGTCTGAAAAGGCCAAATACCATATGTTCTACCTGACCAGTGATAAGTAAAAAGCACTTAAAAGGCAATCTGTAAAAGTGAAATTGATACTTTGAGAAGCAATGACTTTGAGGAACAGTTTTTTTTTTTTTAACTATTTGTTAAACTCTTTACTTAACATAGAGTTAATCACATGCACTTAAAAGGCAATCTGTAAAAGTGAAATTGATACTTTGAGAAGCAATGACTTTGAACAACCCTTGTCTCTACTGTTGAGGAACATTTTTTTTTTTTAAACTATTTGCTAAACTCTTTACTTAACATAGAGTTAATCACATGTGTATAAAGTTAATTGAGAATAGAGCTTAGTAAAAAAAATGAGAATAGGAGACGGAGGAGGAAGAGGAATGGGAGAGTGAGTGGCAGCACAGGTATGGTGGGAAGAATCACCATGTTCCTAAAGTTGTAATTATGAAACATATGAAGTTTGTATTCCTTAAATAAAAGGTTTCTGGGTAAATAAAAGAGTAGTAACTTTGTGGCGTAATAGATTAAATAGCTAAAGCTAATTATGTTATTATATAAGAACAAATGATTGTGTATTAATGATTGCTGATATTCAATATAGTTAGATTCTCCCTGTTGATCACTTGTTGAAAAATTTGCTAATTTAGAAAAAGAACTAAAATACTTCTCAAATTTCTGATCTACAGGTATTTTAGGGAAAAAGCTTTTAGAAACCAATATATGAAATCTCATTACCCTAAGGGCAAACATCTACCAATATCAAAAGTTCAAGTATTCACTCCCCAGTTGCACTTTTTAGGAAATGTTTTCTCTTTTGCCTTTCAAACAAAATTAGAGAGTGAAAGCCAATCTGATCAAGAAAATAGGGAGGCTGGTGCTGTGACATAGTAGGTTAAGCCTTTGCCTGCGGTGCTAACTTCCCATGTGAGCACCTGTTCAGGTCCTGGCTGCTCCTCTTCTGTCCAGCTCTCTGCTTATGGCCTGGGAAAGTAGTGGAAGATGGCCCACATGCTTGGACCCCTGCAACTACATTGGAGACTGGGAAGAAGCTCCTGGCTCCTGGCTTCGGATCAGCCTAGCTCTGGCCACTGCAGCCATTTGGGGAGTGAACCAACAGATGAATAACCTTTGCTTTTCCCTCTCTCGGCCTGTAACTCTAACTCTCAAATAAAAAAAATAAATCTTACAATAAAAAGGAACTAAAGTTTAGAGACAAGCAAAAAAAAGCACAGAGACAATTCAGTTCAATTCAATTCAATTCCATGAATGTCTCACATACCCGTTTTCAAGTTATTATTCAGTGCCAGCATACTGCAGGTGCAATTCCAAAATATTCCTTACATGGAATAGAAAAAATGGAGAGTACTGAACTCTGAGTCTCTGTAGATAAGGCAGGGAGACAGTTTCCCCACTGTTTTTCAATATGGGGCAGATGCCTCTTTCTGGATAAATTTCAAAAAGAAAGACACAGGAATTTCTCTTGTTTTATTAGCAGTGTGGTTGAAATTTGGGAAGAACTTGCTTCACAATTTCGTGGGCCTGCACTGTTGGGAAAGCTAAATGTTTTTTCCAACATTCAGCTATCAGCCTGAACCATTCCAATCTGAGTCCGAATGTTATTCACAGAGTAACTCTATAAACTGACACAAACACAGCAGTATTTTTATTGTTAAATTACTATGTCACTATATGCCAAGCAAAAAGTAAAGGGCTGATGTACTGTGCATTCACATTTTCAATTCTTGATTGGTAAACAAGTGAACAAAGGATCAGTTAGGAATGGAAAACTGAAGCAAGTAAGTCTTCTAATTTCCCCCAATAATTACAGAAAACATGCTGGACATGTTAGAAAACACCTTTTTCTACATGTGGTATCATATTAATAAATAAACTATGTTTTACCTCAACAATTTGGAGATTTTCACAATATTAAGAATCTTTATCTGGCTAATGCAATTATCATTTGGATAGAATATAGGCATCAAAAAATAAAGGGGTGCCATAGTTTAAAATTTTCTAAAATGTTAACACTCTTAATGTTGAGTTTCCAGTTCCAGAATTGTCCATTCCCCTTGAGGTGAACAATCTTCAGAGGAAAAACTGGCCATGCTGATACTTGCTGAGGAATTATCAAGCGGAGATGTTAGTTCGCTCCATCTGCTCAAAGTGCCAACATGTGCTGTACCCTGAGGTTTTGAGCTGTCTCGTGCTAAAAGTAGTGTCTGATTGATTAGATACTGTGCTAAGTTTAAGTCTTCTGGGACAGAATCTGTAATATTTAAGTTTGAATCCTGTTCAGAGAGCAGTTGTTTTAGTAGTGTCCAATCTTGTTCTGCAAAGTGTTGATCATCTTCAAAATCTGTATCTGTAACGTGTGTTTCTGCTTCCCTTTTCTGTTCAAATGCTTCTATTACATCCATCTCATATATTGGAGAGAGGGTTTTTGCAGGCCGATGGTCAGACATGCAGGTTTGTGCCAGTGTGTCACAATCATCTATGTCTCCTGAAATAATTCATAATACTACACAATGTAAAAACTGCACATGTTGGTACTCCTCAGAGTTTTGTAGAACAATATTAACATAATACAACAGAGAAAGTCCAAAAAACACAAAATGGGGAAAATAACGCAAATAAATTGACAAGATTTTTGAGGCATTTCTTTTTCTAAGTTAAAAAATTCAAAGTATTGTTCAGCAGCAAAATCAACACAAGCAACTAATAATAATTCTCCATATCTTAAGTTGAAAACTTGTGATACAGAAAACAACATAAATTATTGAAACAGAAACATAGAATGTGCACATATATCTAATACACTACAATAGGAACGTAAAGAGGAAAAAAGACATAGTTATTTGATGGTGACTTTTAAGGTAAGTCAATTCCAAAAGGGGAAATAAATACATTTTATCTAAAGGCTTATTTGTATATTGCACATGCAAAGGAGGATACAAGCAAGGACAAACAAACATAAAAGTACAACTTTGAAAGATCTCCCTATTCTTATAATTTTGCTGAATAGGGACTAATGATCAGTACTTTTCTTAGGTATGATACACAATAGCTACTCAGTCAGCCACTATTGCATATTCTCAATTTGGGTCATTAATTTGAATTATTAATAAGGAACATAAAAACATAAAAAAAACAGACAGGAAATCATCTAAGCATGTGAAATAAGCCTGGGCTTTTTTCATATATTATCACTACTTCTAAATATAATCTCTTTTAGGAAATTCATCTTTTTAATTAAAAATTTCAGAATAGAATTATAGTGCTCCTGAAAGTCTTAATCTCTGTAAAACGTATATAAATTGTAATAATCAATCTAGTTGTTAAAATAGTTCAGTGCTTTTAGTTACATATTACTATAGTTATTGCACAGCCCTCTTAGATACTAGCAAGTCCATAAATCATATCTAATATATAATAAAATTTCTTAGTCAAGAATTCTTATGTTAAATTAGTTATAAATAACTATAAATAATAGCAAACTAACTTTTTCTCTTTATTCCTTCATGTAAAGTCTCTTAATAGGTTAGCTCTAACAAACAACCCAATTTTTTACTAGCTATCAATTCTTGATCACGATTTTTAAGTGAACAATAAAGATGAATCATTAGCTAATTTTCCTTTATTGAGATATTTACGTTTTCATTTAAAATTTGAATCTGTTGCTTAATTTTAGCTAACTGAAAGATAACATTCAGGGCTACATACAACTTTAAAATTCTATAAATTCATGTTCTGCATTTGGCATTTCTATTTCTGTACATTACCTGCAGATAAAGCAACATTAGCTTTTACGGCAGCTGCGGAATGGCTCTCTTTGATTTGACCTTCCTGAGGCAGAACTTGACTCCGAAAAGAGTCGAGAGATTTTGCAGAGCTGTTCTTTGGTATGTCAGAACTGGCTTCTCTTTGATGAAGCTCCAAATGGCATGGTCTTTCTTGAGATTTCATGTCAGCATCTAAGAGTCTGCTGCGTTGCTGCAAGCTGTTATCCACACCGCTTCTACTGTTTGTTTTTTTATCTTCTGGAAGAAGCAGTCTGTCTCCTTTGGACAGGCCATCTATTGTGTTCTTTTTTTCTGTGGTGGAAATAATTTGTTTATCTTTTCTTGAAGAATCAATGCTACTTAGACGTACAAGAGTGTTTTCATTTTTATATATACCCTTGCCTTTATCTTGCTGTTTACATTCTAAAATACTAGCTTCTCTCCCTTGTTCTGAGAATCGAGAATAGCAGGTCCTTCCATGACGTTCATGAGAAATGCCATCAAAAACATCCGAAGGTGAAAGAGCATCTGCGGGAGGCTGAAAGGGAGTGTGGCCTTCCCCTTCATCAGACCCCAGTTCTTCACATTCATCTACGGAAAGTAAAACTGACCTTTTAAACTTTTTAGTTGTAGAAAATTCACGACTTTCATTTTCAGTTGCATCTTCAAAAGCTAAATTAATTATTCCTTGAAACTGCTGTGCAGCTGCATTACAGACAGAGAGATTTTCTGCCATATTTTCAGCTTCAGACCGTTCATCTTCCGTTTCATCAGCTGAAGAAGAAACTTGATCTATTTCCTGAGCAAACTGCACACTGCCTCGTGGAATATTTTCTTTCTCCCTAGGGTGGATTACTGTAGATCGTGGCCAGATTTCTGGTCTCTTCCTAGGAATCTCATCATCACTTGTTGAGTTAACTTGGAAAAGATCATTACTACTTTGCTTTTTCATTTTTACTTCAATTCTTAAATTACTATCATATATTTTTAATTCTTCAGGAGTACTGGTATCACTGCTACTTCTTCCAAGAAAATCATGGCACAGCATAGTGCCACACTTAGAAATGCCTCTGTCGTTCGACCCATCGTCATCCTGAGACCCCCCAGCATCATAGTCTTCAGATCTGGGCTTTATGTCGTCGGAGGATGTCGTAGCACTGCCAGTGTCTGACTCGGGACTCTCTCGCGGATGTAGAACACTGGTACTCAAATTCCAGTGGCCCATGAATGGGGCTTCTGGAGTTCCATGGCTCTCTGGAGTTTCTGCTGTTTCCATATTTTTAGGAGAATTTTTTCCTGATAGTTTCCCTGAAAAACTTTTGGAAGAAATATCTGAGTCTGCTGTTGCATGTTTGTCTTCACTTACAGCAAAGTCATCAGAGAACTGACTAGGAATTCTTGGTTCTCCTACATGACCTGTACATTTTCTGTCATCCTGAACAGAATTTAAGGTACCGTTTGTCCTTTCAGGAACACAAGATAAAACATCTTTCACACACATAATGCTTGACTTGTGGTTTGTACCTACGTGATTGTCCTTCTCTGATAGTAAATGAATTTGCTCTGTATTTGTTGAGTCTAGACCACAAATTGGACTCGAGTTCAGGGAGTTTTTATCTGGATTTGAAATCATGGGTTTTAGGGCAGTGGTGCTACAAAATTTTGCATCTACATTATTACTTCCAGCAGAATTTTGAGTTGCACTGTAACGATCTGTTTCTTTGTGACTGGGAAATTTCGTTTCACTTCCATCTGAACAAATCTGGTTCGATTCCAGTTCATGCTCCATGGATTCCTCCAGCTTTGAAATGTTTTGGCATTCTAACATCAACTTGTCTTGTTCTTGATTGTTCAGTAGTTTTTGTGGGTCCAGTTTGTGTGACGACTGGCAAGCTTCTGCAACACTGACTTCAGGCGCAAGGTTAACGACAGGCCTGTGAGACTTCTGTTCAGAAAGACTGTCCCCGTTATTATTATCTTGTACATCACGAAGCATACTTTTTTGGACAAGAGATGTTTCGCTTTTTAATGGTCTTTGAGAAGATGACTGCGTTTTCAGCATTACCTGTGCAGGAAGAGTCTTTTGTTTTGAATCTTTATTATTCAACGTTTCACCCTTCCTTGGCTGATTGAGGTTTTTAGGCATTGCTGCTATTTTTGCATTAACCTTAGACATAGGTGCCTGTCCTTGCTTGGCAATTTTTCTCTTGGGTGTTTGTTTATCTGTAGTTGTATTGTGTTCCAACTTTGTCACATTTTCATCAGATTGCCTTGAAGAAACTGAAGATTTTACTGAATTTGGTGACTCTCCTTGGGATCCTAAGAAAAGTTTAGAAATATAACTTTGAATTTTTCAGTGAAGTTCTGTATTTGTTTTTTAATTACTTTAGAAAAAATAAAGTCAACAAAACAATGAAAGGATAACATATCTGTGATTAAAAAAAAGAACAGATTAGAAGCTAGTCATAGGATAAAATTAACTATTTTTTAATTAAAAATACGGGACTATTCCAAATCTTAGTAAAAAATGATTAAAACAGGATCTTTTTCAAGTAAAGAAACTTGATCCATATGTCAAAGTTGGATTTGTACAGGGGTGGGAAAGTCTGATTTTCTCACATCAAAGAAGGGTCTTCCTTTTGAAGCTTTTTGGGAAAAAAATAGATATGCTCTATATAGCTAAAAAGAGAATCAAGCTAAATATAAAACAGAATTATTGAAGTTGTTGCAGTTTGTTTCTTCAAACATAAATTAACCCAATTTACTTCTCATAATCAGGTAATTATTATTGCAGTTCATTAGGTTTAATAATTTAGATCAGCAGTGGAAACTAGAACTGATGACTGAAGGGAAAGAGGGATTAATTTTGGGAATCCATTTGATTACACTGGTTAAAGTCTTATAGATAGTTTTGAGCATTCAAATCTATCAAAGAGAATTATCAACTACTTCTAAATATTTGCTTTTTATCTGTTGCTAGAATATGAATAATTGTTCAGTGCTTTTTTATTGTTGGTATTAATCTAAATAAAATTATTTTTATGATTTTATAAGCTGCTCTCACATATATAAATGCTTAATACATAATGCAATTTTAAATGAGTCATTATATTAGCAAGTTATTTAATCTCATCAATACTTTTTTCTAAGAACATTGGAAACCAATGGGGGGATTGAGGGAAAGTATGGTTATCTTCTTAGAATTGTATCTATAGGGGTTGGTACTGTGGCATAGTGGACTGGGCATCTGCCTGTGGCACTGGCATCCCATATGGGCACAGGTTTATGTCCTGGCCGCTCCTCTTCCAATCCAGCTCTCTGCTATGACCTAGGAAAGCAGTGAAAGATGGCCTAAGTGCTTGGACCTCTGTATCTAAGTGGGAGACCCAGAAGGAACTCCTGGCTCTTGGCTTCGGTTCAGCTCAGATCCTGCCATTGAGGCCATTTGGGGAGTGAACCAGAGGATGGAAGACCTTTCTCTTTCTCTCCCTCTGTCTGTAACTCTTATCTCTCAAATAAATAAATATTTTTTTAAAAAAAGAATTGCATCTATGAAATATGTTCTCTTTATATTAATAATTTTTTTAAAATGTGCATAGCACAGATTTTGGGGAGAAAATTCTTCCTCTATATATTATACCAGTCTAGATTGGACCTTTTTTTTTTTTTTTAAGATTTATTTATTGGCTGGTTCTATGGCTCACTTAGCTAATCCTCAGCCTGTGGCGCCAGCACCCCATGTTCTAGTCCTGGTTGGGACGCCGGATTTGTCCCGGTTGCTCCTCTTCCAGTCCAGCTCTCTGCTGTGGCCCCGGAAGGCAGTGGAGGATGGCACTTGGGAGACCAGGAGGAAGCACCTGGCTCCTGGCTTCGGATCTGTGCAGCGTGCTGGCTGTAGCAACTATTTGGGGGGTGAACCAACGGAAAAAGGAAGACCTTCCTCTCTGTCTCTCTCACTGTCTAACTCTGCCTGTCAAAAAAAAAAAAAAAGATTCATTTATTTATTTGAAAGAGTTACAGAGAGAGAGAGGAAAGGCAGAGAGAGAGAGAGAGAGAGAGAAAGGTCTTCCATCCACTGGTTCACTCTCCAATTGGCTGCAATGGCCAGAGCTATGCCAATACCAAGCCAGGAGCCAGGAGCTTCCTCCAGGTGTTCCCATGCGGGTATAGGGACCTATGGACTGTCATCTTCTGCTGCTTTCCCAGGCCATAGCAGAGAGCTGGATTGGAAGTGGAGCAGCCGGGACTCGAAATGGCAGCCATATGGGATGCCGGCACTGAAAGCAGCGGCTTTACCTGCTATGCTAGAGTGCCGGCCCCAAGGACCATTATTTTTTCAAAGAATTCTTTATTTTGGTTTTACAGATGGAATCCTATAGTTATCAATGATATTTTCAAGAAATATGAAAATATATGCTTATGAAAGGACCAGAAAAAAACAGATAAATTAGTAATTCCTTTAATTATCTCTCATAAAAGATAATAAGGGCCGGTGCCGTGGCTCAATAGGCTAATCCTCCACCCAGCGGCGCCGGCACTCCAGGTTCTAGTCCCAGTTGGAGCGCCGGATTCTGTCCCGGTTGCCCCTCTTCCAGGCCAGCTCTCTGCTGTGGCCCGGGAGTGCAGTGGAGGATGGCCCAAGTGATTGGTCCCTGCACCCGCATGGGAGACCAGGAGAAGCACCTGGCTCCTGGCTTCGGATCAGCGCGGTGCGCCGGCCACAGCGCACCGGCTGCAGCGGCCATTGGAGGGTGAACCAACAGCAAAAGGAAGACCTTTCTCTCTGTCTCTCTCTCTCTCACTGTCCACTCTGCCTGTAAAAAAAAAAAAAAAAAAAAAAAAAAGATAATAAAAAACCAAACTCACATCTCAAACACTTCCCTGAAAAGTAAATGTGTAAATTTTTTTCTCTAGAGTGTGAATCAAATTGTGAAATGAGTGCAATCATGTTATACAATGATTTTGTTTATTTCCTATGGCAGATCCAAGTCAGGGTCCTGGTTATCTAATTTTAACAAAAATACTACTTTTGGAATCCAGGACTATTTCAGCTTTACCTTGAGTTTTAGCAAGATTACTTGGGGTACTCTTGGTCCTCTGCTGAGCTGTAGCACATCCACTCCCATTCCCTCTTTTCTTCAAAACTGCTTGTGGTACTGGATCACTACATCCTTTGCCACTGACCTTCTTTAGTATGCTAAGAAAAATGGTTAGCATTCAGTATCACACTGAGATTCCAAAAAATTAACTTTTAAAACATCCATACATGAAATATATTTTTCTCAAGAAATAAAAAATATAGTTTTTCTAATAACAGAATCATCTGTTCACAAGTGTTTAAGTTTATAAAACTATTGCTGAAGTACAATAAAGTAATAAGTATAATCATGCATCATGAACAATATTCTAATATTTTACATTGATCATTCTACATATACTTATTTCAATGAGAAAATAATTTAAAATATCATTATATAAAAACATTAATTTTTTAACAAAGAAATTTTTAAAATATTCAACTAGAAGTTGGTATACAATTAACTTTCAGAGAAAGCTAATCTACAGATAATATACTGAATGGAGACCTACCTATTATTTATATTATTGTCTGGTTCATGAGTGTTTTTTTTATTAGACGTTCCATTGGTAACTCTTGAAACAGGTCGAGATTTTATGGCTATAAATTAAGAACAAGTGAGTCATGAGATGGAATATATTTAATATGTAACAACTGTGTAAATTTACTGGCTACACACTATAAGTAAAATTAAATGTTAAAGTAGGAATTGTTTTCCCTCAGTTTGCATGAATACAACAGATAAATAATTTTTGGCATGTGAAACTAAATAAAAGCTCTAATACAAGATCATATTTTTCTAGGAACTTTAACTGTCAGAATCTGTTAAAAATTAGACTGCTGGGGGTGCTGCTATGGCACAGAGGTTTAAGCTGCAGCCTGTGATGCCAGAATCCTGTATCAGAGAACTGGTTTAAGACCTAGCTGTTTCCTTTCTGATCCAGCTCCCTGCTAATATGCCTGGGAAGACAGTGGAAGATGGCCCAAGTGTTTGGGCCCCTGCCACTCATGTGGAAGACCTGGATGGAGTTCTGGGTTTTTTGCTTTGGCCTTACCCAGCCAGGGGCTGCTGCAGCCATCTGGGGAGTGATTCAGTAGATGGAAGATCTCTCTCTTTCTCTCCCCTCTCTCTATCACTCTGCCTTTCAAATAAATAAATCTTATTTTAAAAATTAGATTGCCAAGACCTACCCACAGTGGAAGTTTTGACACTCTCTACACTGTTTTTCACCATCTGTCCTGAAGAATTGCAAAACGAAGGCTTATGACCAGAAGACTTCTCTGCACCCATTGATCCATTTTCTTCTGGTTCATTGAGACATTCAGTGGAAATCAGTAACTCCATACTTGAATTTGTAGATCTGTTGGACTGTCCTGCAATGCTGGGACATGGAGAATTTTTCCCGGTCATTTTCTTCAAAGGCTTTGCTCTGACCTGTACATTTGAGTTTCCAGTAAGTGTCTTGGGTCTGGCACCTGTAATCTGCCCTGTTTGATTTCCATTTTCCATTGATTTCCCTTTTCCATTTACTGAGTTTTTCTGTCCAGCTGCTGCTGCTGGTGCCGGTCTTTCCACAACTTGTCTAGATGACATGGTTTCCAACTTTGCATTGTCATTGTTTTCTGTTTTGGGCTTTACTATAGTTTTAGGCTTTCCAGAAACACTTTTTTCCCCAGTTTTTAATTCTTTTGTAATCTTAGATGCTATTTTCATATCATCCTTTTCCTTTAAACCATCATGCTTAAGAGTTTTATTTGTACTATTTCTGTGAGTGCTTGAGGAATGTCCAGAAGCTCCTAATCCATCCGACTTCATCTTTTGATTAGCAGAGACAGAACTCCAGCAGTCTTTCTTGCTATTTCTCCTGCAAGACTTTTTGTTTATAACACCTGCATCAGAAACTTGTCTCCTTTGCTATAAAGAAGAAAAAAAAATACTTAGTAACTTAACTGAAGTCTTTGGCATTTAATACTTACTATTTCAAAAAGCCACTTTTTAAAAGAGAGAAAAAAAAGCGAAGTTCCTTTGGTGATTTAGGGTCACTCAAAACTTGAATTGTCTTTTTATCATTTGATCAAAACTTTCTGTCTCTGGTTATATTATCTCAATTAAATCTGAAATACAGTATAAAATGTTTATTTAAAAGGCATGCTGTTTTAACTTCTGAAGTACAGATTAATATCTAAAATTTCAGGATATCTTCAGTGAATGATATCCCAGGTTATGTCTAATAAACCATGTTCATACCTCACCTCACTTAACCCTCATAATATTTCTATGAAATAGTTCCTGTGGCTATTTCTATTTCTTAGACAAGAAATTGGAGATGAAAGCACGTATGTGACTTATCTAAGGTCACATCTGGTAAAGGGTGCAGTTAGGACTAGAGCTCATGATTTACTGCCTCAAACAGGTAGTCATATAAATGGTCTAAGCTGAGGTACCTTACAGATTTTACAAAAACTATCTCTTCATCAGACTTTACCATCAAAAATTTAATCCTCCATGCTAAGACTAGTTTATTTCTTAGAGTTTATGTAACAGTTTCTTTCTTTTTTAGAGCTTCTAAGCAAAATACCATTTTATTATCTGAAAAGCTTCATTTTTAAAAGAACATTATTAGCCAGCTAGAGGAAGTGGAGAAAACAAGAGGTCCTAAGATTAACTGAAATAGGTAAAAAGTAGAAAACAAAGGGCCACTGAAGACAAATCCACCTACTTCATCATTTTGCTTAAAACCAACCATTGGTATGCAAGGGAACAATAAATCTTAAAAGCTGGTAGGAATTTTAGAATAAAATTTTAAGATTATATTGTCATTTTTCATATAAATATGTAAGTGCTTCTTTTTTCTCCTTTGGAAAGTTGTATGACAGCCTATGTTGTCTTCACCTTTTGTTTCTAAACCCCTTGGCACCTTGCCCATCCCATACCAGGCACCCCATAATGTTGAAAATGTTAAAACTGAGCATATATTGCTATATAGTTCCAGGTCTAATTATTTCTAAGTATGAAAAGCTCTTAATTACATTAATTGTGTAACATAAAATATAATGTGCTACTTATGTATATATGTGCATGCAAGCATACACACACACACAGAGATGTGAAATAAATAAATAAATAACTTGGCTGAATTTATGTAAAAGCAAGGTGTGGTGATAAAGGAATCACCATATACTTGTCCTGGCTTTGCCTTTACCTGACCTATTTAAGAAGAGATACTCACATCTCTGGGCATAGAATCCTCATGTCTACAGTACAGAGACTTGTCCTAGTCATAGGAATGTTCTAAGATTCTGTCCAATACTTCTAAAGCTCAGAGACGCTCATTTTAAAATTTTTATTCTTTCTTCCTTTCTTGACCAAATCTTAGCTAAACAAAAACCAAAACAAACAAAAACCCCCTAAAACCACATTTCTTTACTTTAATACCTAAAACCAGGCCTTTTAGAACACTTTTCACATTAAAACTGATTCTACTTAATTTATGCTGTCTTTGAATCTATACATTTTGAAGTATTATGCTATGGGTGAAATTTATGTGGTAAATGGGGTAACTACACTCCATTAAAATTTCTCATTAACATGATACAGTATTATGAGGACTTAACATGTTGGTATATCTAAGCACTGTCAGACTTATATCTGCAAAGCTTACATACATTTATTATACAGCAATGGCCAACTGGGAGTGGTCACCACATGCTACTTACAGAAAAGTAGACAAGTGGCTAATCTGCTAAGGTAGGGGTAGGGAACTTTTTTCTGCCAAGGGCATCTGCATATTTGTAACATCATTTGTAGGCTATACAAAAATATCAATTTAAAAATGAACCTGCTACAGATTAGCTGAATTTCAAGTCCCATCTGCAGTGCCTTGGCAAAGCCAGACCAAATGAGTTCGCAGCCATCCATGGCCCATGGGCCAGATGTTCCCTATCCTTGCCTGAAAGCATGCCTCTTGATAGCTTTTTGTGTTCTAGTACTATTTCCTCTTTCCTTTTTTGTTAAATTTTTATCGTAGGGGGCTGGCACTGTGGTGCAGTAGGCTAAGCCTCCACCTCTAGTGCCAGCATCCCATATGGTCACTGGTTCATGTCTTGACTGCTTTTCCTCTTCTGATCCAGCTCTCTATTAATGGCCTAGGAAAACAGCAGAAAACGGTCCAAGTGCTTGGGCCCCTGCATCCATGTGTGAGACCCAGAAGAAGCTCCTGGGTTCAGATTGGCCCAGCTCTGGCCCTTGCAGCCATTTGGGGAGTGAACCAGCAGATGGAAGACCTCTCTCTCTGCCTCTTCCTCTCTTTGTCTATAACTCTACCTCTCAAATAAATAAATCTTTAAAAATTTTTTTTAATCATAGAAGAATTTAAATATAATCAGAAGAAGACAGAACAGTATCATGACTGCCCCTGTAACTAACACTTGGCTTTAACAATGATTAATTCATGGCCAATTCATAAATACCTATCCCCATTTTATTATGAAGCAAATCCCAGATACTACATATTTTATCCATAAGTGTTTTAGTTTTGCACTCTTAACCTTTTTTAGGTTGGCATTATCTGATTAACTTTTCTCTCCTTTTTCCACCTTGTAAAGATTTCATCTCTCTTTGGAAAACACATTTATTCATCCCACATTTATTGGGCATCGAGTATACATCAAATAACTGCATGTAAATTGCTTCACCTAATTTTCACAATAATCTTGCTGGGTTTTATTACTCCATTTCATATATAAGCAAAGTAAGACAGGAATGTCACAAGTAATAAATATGAAGTCAAAATTGGAACTCATCCAGCTTCATATCCAGCACCTATTTTAGGACAACACTGCCTTTGGAGGGAAACTTACTGCCCTGTTTCCTTCTTGTTGTTACCAGAAAAACCCCTTAGACGCTGTTAAAATCAGGAAGATATAAATCAATGAGACTCTGTTCTGTTTGTCTGTAAGGCAAGGGAGGAGGAAAAGTCTTGTTGACAACAGGGGAAAGGAAAGCCAAGTAGGCTGCTTCCTGGGGGCATTAAAAAAAATCACAGAGGTAACAGGGAACCAGCAGCTAGAAAAGTGTCCTAGACCATTTCCTAGAGTGGTTTCTGCAGAACTGTGTGATTTGCTTAGAAGGAGTTGAAGGGAAGCCTTGTGGTGTTCCATAGTAATCTGACGGGGGAAATTCCTGGTAAAATGGAATTCAAAGTGTTCTTCCCTATAGTGTTTCTCAGCACTGCCTTTTTTTTTTTTTTTTTTTTTTTTTTAGATTTATTTATTTGAAAGGCAAAACATCAAAAACAGAGACTGGAAGAGAGAGATATCTTCCATCTGCTGGTTCACCTCCCCAGATGGCCACAACAGCCAGGGCTGGGGCAGGCCAAAGTCAGGAGCAACAAGTCCATCTGAGTCTGGCAACTCCATCTGGATGGCAGGGACCCAAGCAGTTGGGCCACAGTCCGCTGCCTTCCCAGGTGCATTAGCAAGGACTGGATAGGAAGCAGAGTAGCCTGGATTCAAACCAGCACCTGGATTCGGGATGCTGCTGATGCAAGTGGGGCTTACCTACTGAATCACAACACTAGCTCCTCTATTAAGTTATAATGTGCATCCTCAGTGTAGCCCTTTGTTTTTTAGTTTATAAACATTTATTTAATTTTTAATTTTTTAATACAGAACATACGTGGAACAAAGGAGTAATAGATTATGATAAGTAAGAAAGACAAAAGGGAAAGATGTCCTTCCTTCCTTTTCTTTCCCTTCCTTCCTCCCTCTCTCCTTCTCTCTCCCTTCCTCTCTCTCTCTTTCTGACTTATTTATTTATTTATTTATTTGAAAGAGATCTTCCATCTGCTGGTTCACTCCCCCAAATGGCCACAATGAACAGGGCTGGGCCAGGCTGAAGCCAGGAGCTTCATCCAGGTCTCCCACATGGGTACAGGGGTCCAAGCTATCTTCCCCTCCTTTCCTAGGCACATTAGCAGGGAGTTGGATCAGAAGTGGAGCAGCTGGGACTCAAACTGGCACTCATATAGGATGCAGGCACCGCAGATGGTGGCTTAATTGCTAAACCAGAATGTCAGCCCCATAAGGATACCTCAAGAGACATGCCTGTCATGTCTGAGTGCCTGGGTTTTGTTCCAAGCTCCAGAATCCAGCTTCCTGCTAATGCAGACCCAGGGAGCCAGTGGTGATAGCTCACGTGGTTGGGTTCTTAAACTCATGTGAGAAATCTGGATTGTGTTCTCAGCTCTTGGTTTTGAGACTGGCAATTGCTGTCATTTGGGGAATGAACTAGCAGATGGTGAGGTGGGGTGTGTGGAGCTCTGTCTGCATCTCTCTCTTTCTACCTATCAAATTAAAAAAATTTAAAGAGGAGCTGTGATGTGTAGCAATTTTCCCAACTTAGTTGGTGCTAGTTCTTAGGTGGGGCTGGCAGCTATAGGCGTTTTGGGAGTGATCCAGCAGATGATGGGGTGGGAGATGGAGAGCGCTCACTTGCTCGCTCTCTCTCTGCCTCACAAATTAGAAAAAAAAAAAAATTCTAAGAGGGAGCTCGATATGTAGCAGTTCTCAAACTTGGTGCTAGATGTTCTTAGATGGGGCATGTGATGGTGTTAGGATATTGTGAAACACACAATCCTAGGAGGTATCTATAGCAAGAAGCTCCAGCATCCCAGTTTCTCACCCAAAACGTTCAGAGCTTGACTCCCTACCCCTAGCTATGCAAGCTCTTGGTTATGGCTTGGAGCTCTATTAATTGCTAGCCACTGACTGATGAGGATGAAAAGAGGATTCTCTATTTTGTTCTGCGCAGGCAATATGTTCTTTGCATTCCAAACTAAAACTCTCAATATACGACTCCATAACACTGTAATACAGTAGTTGGTGTAATTTGGTACTTAAATATATGATTGAAGAAGTGAACATCTTGTATTTTAGGATATAATGAACAAATACCTTTGTGTATGTATGTGAAGTAAAAAAAAAAAAAAGCAAAACCAAAGAGCTATCATTTTAATCATTTCTGAGTACATAGTGTAGTAATGTTAACTAATGTTAACTAGTAATGTTGTATAGCTGACCTCTAAAACTTTTTCATCTTGCAAAACTGAGTCCATACCCATAAACAACTCCTCTTCTCATCCCCTCACCCTCAACTTCCTCCCCTGCACTCCCTGGCAACCCCCATTCTTTCTATTTCTGAGAGTCTGACAACTTTAGATACCTCATATAAGTAAAAAAGTAAATTTCAAAGTAAAATAATTGTATTTTTGCTATTAATTAGTTTTTTCACACTGAAAATATACTTTGTGAATTAAAATCTTAGAGAAAACTGGAACTCAAACTTTCTTTTTTAAGAAGTAGGTTAATTAGAAAGATATTGAATTAGGTCTAAAATTCCGGACAATTTCTGTCCTACTGGAATAGCTCTAATATATTAGTTGCCAAAAAGGTTTTCAAGGAAATGAAAAAGGGAAACAATTCCTATGCCAGCTGTGTATCAGAAATTTACTAAATACTCACTTGATCTTAAAAAGGCTCAAAGTTATTTCCATTAAGAAATAGTTTTGGGGCCAGTGCTGTGGCGTAGCAGGTAAAGCTGCCACCTGAAGTGCCAGTATCCCATATGGGCACCGGTTCGAGTTCCAGCTGCTCCACTTCCAATCCAACTCTCTGCTATGGCCTGGGAAAGCAGTAGAAGATGGCCCAAGTCCTTGGGCTCCTGCACCCATGTGGGAGACCCAGAGGAAGCTCCTGGCTCTTGGTTTTGGATCAGCCATTTGGGGAGTGAAACCTTGGATGGAAGACCTCTCTCTGTCTCTTCCTCTACCTCTGCCTCTCTGTAACTATGCCTTTCAAATAAATAAATAAATCTTTAAAAAAAAGTTTTAATAATGAATTAATAGATTTTAAAGAATTATTCAGAAATATAAAAGAGTAAAATTCAAGTTATTTGGTATTTTTCCATTTAATCTATAGAATTTAGAGAGCTTACCTGAGAGCTACTGAATATAGGCTTTTTGCCAAGTCTTCGATCATCACCTTTGTCAAATGCAGCTGTAGAAAGAAATAGCAGTTTGTTTTTACAGGAAGCATTATTATTAACATAGAAATAGAAGGCAACAGCATACTAGCAGAAAACGGTTATATTTTGATGGAAATTAAAAAAAACTGAAACCAATGTAGCACACAAAAATACTCCCAATTCTATTTTATATCTTTTTATTAAAAACCTAATTTTCAATATTATTTTCCGGGCCATGAGATTTTTTAAAATTAATTTTAAAAAATTAATTTTAAAATTAAAAAAATAATTTTGTAAAATTAATAAATAGGAAATGCACAATCTCACAGAGAAGATTGCTGCATTTACAAAAAAGCCAAAATTTTCTCAAGTTGTAAAATTTTGAGTAACTGGGTTTAAGTTTTCCATTTTCAAAAAAAAATATGGAGTATGGCAAATGTGATATTTTATAAATTATTAGATGGAAGAAAATATTTATCCTAAGATATAAAAGTACACTTTTGAAATTAAAATATAAAAGTACACTGTTGAAATATTTTTTGGTTTTGAAGTATATCAGGAGGAAGGAGGAAAGATATGAAAATAAGGTTCTGTTGAAAATAAAACAAGAAACCTCAAACTCATCATTCTTTTTAGAATGAAATAAAAATTCATTTCATAAGTTAATTTTATATGAGAATTATTGAGGAGCTCATATTTTAATCTTAAGAATTAGAATGATGGGAAATATATAAGAATAATGGAATAAGGACTAAAATTATAGTTTAACTAATGTATTGCTTTCTTTTGAAGGTTACAGGGCTTTAAGATATATTTTGAAGAAATATACAGAAACTATAAAGATTATTCAATGTTTGTCAAGTCAGCTAGTAGAAAACAGATTACATTATCTGTAAGTCTACCATGCGCCTCCCACAGCCTCTATTCTATCAGATATGTGCTATAAGACAAAGCAAGAACCTGGAAATGGCATTATAGGAACTAACTGCGAGTAAGCAAGTGACTGCACACTACTACATGGGAAGACACTCATAAGAGATTTTCTCCAAAATGTCAGTAACTCAGCCAGAACATAAGAAATGTTATAACAGAGACAACCCAGATCCATTCCTTTATTTGGGTTCCCAAATGCAGTAATTATAGGACTCATTACAATTCAACATATTTAAGATTTAAAAAAAAATTATCACACTAATGAAATGTAACATAATGAAAATTTTTTTGATAATTAGTTGGATTATCAGTGACATTTTATTTACATATGTGAACATATGTATATTATATTTTTAATTAGCACTTTGAAAAATTAAAGAATGCTGTTTGAAGAGCTCAACTATGAGATCCTCTGAAACAGAGAAAAAACAAAGTTTGCTTTCACAGAAGAGTTGAAGGACATCTACTCATGGAGTACTGATCATGTTTCTTCACATTTATATAGATTTTGTAGCAAAAATAAACTACCGTTCTGAAAATCAGCATAGAAATAGTCACAAAGAAAAAGACACCCATTTCTAAAGACCTTCTTTTCATGAATTTTCTTGTTTAGAAAATGGAATTCCTTTGAAAAGTGCTCTTCAGATCACATTTAGCTATACCATCATATTATGCTTAAAACACGAGACAGTGCAGTCACATTTTGACTATTTCACTAAAGAACTGAACATATCTATGCATTATCAAGAATATACCTCATCATATTTGGCTCCCGTGTTCTATAGCACAAAATGTTTGCTTCATAAAATGTAATCTCTCAAAATATTTTTGAAAGTATACTTGCTGAATATGCCAGTATTTTTTCTAAGTACCTGCTTTAACCCCAAAATAGGCATGAAGCCATTTTTAATTCCACACCCTCAAAATTTTATTTTAATATTTTTGAAACAAACAGGCATTCAGGGCAATACACATCTTTTGTTTATGCTAATGTTCCAAGTGGTACCTATTAAATATGTCCGAGAGCACGGTGCGGCTCCTGAGGGACGCTCCGCAGCCGCACACAACACATCACTGGATCAATCAATTGTAAAATAAGCCTTCTAATCTAGGCAACACCACAAGAAAGCATATCTTATGGAAAAGCACTATGGCAAATATATTTTAAGTGGGAAGAGAAAGTATGTTTGGTAGATTACATTTTCATATCCTCCGAATTTCTTCAAAAGAATGCTTTTAAGCAAATTTGTCTGGAATATTGTTGCTAACATACAGTGGGATTAAAAATTAACATATAAAAAGGAAGTGAGTTTCATTTTCTAAGAACTGAAAAAAAGCATGATTGTTAAAACTGCTTAAACATACTACCACAGTTTGACTTACCACTCTATTATCAAGCTGAAGCATACAAATGTTAATCTTACCACTTACTAGAATGCCCTCAAAATAATCTGCTGTCACAAAGATCATAAAAATCAAAAAAACCCTCAAGGTTAACATACCTGCTTGGATTTTCTCTTGATCATCTGTGCTCATCAGCTTCCAGCCCTCTGTGTGACGAACAGCATAGAAAGACTGAACCTGGAAGATCCACAGCTTATCACGCAGAGCTTGGATCTTGCACGTAAAACCCTGTGTTCAAGCAACAAATCAGCAGCTGGTGAGAGCCACATTGTCATAGCAACCAGTCATTATTCCTTTCCGAATCTACTTACTCCTAAGCTAGATCAATGATGTCATCACCTAGATTTTTAAGATCGTTGGTACATGTAATTTACAAAGGCTTACTCAGTAACAACAGAATTTTATGATGAACATGAAGCTAAATCTTATCCTTGCAAATAAACATTATTTTAAAATACCAATGGTCTTTACATGGATACCTTCCACAGTGTTTTCAAATCAGCTATGACATTACAAGGTCAAATACTCTAAACAACAGTAATAAATATGCTGAAATGTTATTATCATTAATGTTGAATACAAATGATAATAATTTGTAATTAGCTTATTAATTACCATTGGTTAACTGCACCTAAAAGATTTATATTGTAATTTTTCTTTTTTCCAATGTCATTTTAAAAATATGATTTTAGAAAAAAGAATTAAAATAAATTACGAAAATAAAAGACACTGACAATTGAAAACTCTAAAATATACATTTTTATATTCAGAAAGTTAAATGTGGTGACTAGGAAGAAATATTAGAGGTATGCTATGCCAAATAATATTGCTAAGTATCAAACTATGCTTAAAATTAACCAAACTACCAAATTCTTTAAAAAACTTCTTTTAATTTTTAGTGTCTAACAGATTCAATATAATTTGTAGATACAATTCTAAGAATATAATGATACTTCCTTCCTTTCTTCCCTCCAAACCTCCCCCTGCTCTGTCAAATTCTAAACTTTTATAACAAATACAATTGGAGGTAAATGGAATTCGAAAAATCTTGTATTGTAAAATATTCCAAACATACACATAATCAAGCCCCAGCTTCATAGATGCAGACATATGAAACATTTTAAGGTTAAGATATTACATTATTTTAATGACTGTTATTACATTCAGTACCATTTCTTTTGTACTATCCGAACTCAGTAATGTGTCCAGGGCCATGAGGAGAGAGCAGCTGTTTTCAGTGGTAATGTTTTCTTCAATTGCTTTTAAAATTTTGTCCAACAGATCATATGTACTGCTCATTGCTTGTGACTATAAAACACAGAAACTGGTATTTAATGGGAAACCATGTAAAATAAATAAATGTGAAAGTCTGTTCTAACAGTAGAATAAGCTGTATGAAGTCAACTGGAAATCATATCTGCTCTTTTCCTTTGTTAAAAAAATCTGCACATATACACATATATGAGGGAACTTCAGAAAGTTTAAGGAAAATGGAAATAAAACATAAGTGTATTTTTATGCAAAAATGTTTAAATCTATGAATAGTTTTTTCATAATGTACTTTCCAAAAACTTTTTGAAGATTCCTTCTTTACATGTATTTATACACATTAAGAGTTAACATGCCCTAAAAACAGAACCTAAAAATAAGCATTACTATCTCTTTTTTTCAATGATTATTTTAGAGGAAGTAGCTCCCCAGTAAGATTGGAAATTTAGCATGGACTATAATGGTATTGCTGACCAAAACAACAGCATTATGACTTTGGTTTCTAGAATGTGACTATGCTGATTGAAGGCTACAGTTGGCCAGAGTTACACTGTGCCTTGCCAGAACACTCAAACCTGTCCCTCCTTGCCTTCATTCCCTTGTGAGCCAAAAATCCTGTCCATCAGTGCTCTAAATCCTATGCAAACATGCCATCTGCTAAGGAATTTACTTAAATCATACAAATTTAATCAAAGGCAGCCTGCATTTTAAAAAATTCTTATGTAATTAAAATCAGAACACAAAGATGGGGCTAAATATAGGATATAATTTTGAGACATAGTACCTGTAAGAGAAGAGCAAAATTTTCACTTTGAATAATCTTGGAGAAGTTTTTCACAATAAACTCAATACATTCCTCTTGGAGCTGAGATGCCATAGTCAATGCTGCTTCTGTCCACTTCACTCTGGGCAAACTGATGACAAGCCTGTCACTTTCCATCAGAAGAAAAGCAGCATTCTTATCATTCTTAGAATTTAAAAAATATTGGAAAAAAGTTAGATAGTATTATTCCTCAGAAAATAACTTTCTAATAAAACATGGTTCTTTTGTGATATTACCTGCAAAAAACAATATGGCAGGTAGCTAATGTATTTGTAATTTATTTTATTTACAATATTCATTCATTCATTCATTCATAATTATCCAAAAGACCCAACTTTGAGCTGAGATAGACCCACCTTTAAAAGGCAGCTAAGGGCTGGCGCCTCAGCTCACTAGGCTAATCCTCCGCCTAGCGGCGCCGGCACACCAAGTTCTAGTCTCAGTTGGGGCGCCGGATTCTGTCCCGGTTGCCCCTCTTCCAGGCCAGCTCTCTGCTGTGGCCAAGGAGTGCAGCGGAGGATGGCCCAGGTGCTTGGGCCCTGCACCCCATGGGAGACCAGGAAAAGCACCTGGCTCCTGCCATCGGATCAGCGCGGTGCGCCGGCCGCGGCGGCCATTGGAGGGTGAACCAACGGCAAAAGGAAGACCTTTCCCTCTGTCTCTCTCTCTCACTGTCCACTCTGCCTGTCAAAAAAAAAAAAAAAAAAAAAAAAAGCAGCTAAAACAAACCTGAGAGCAATTTATAACTACCAAGAAAAACTTTACTACTCTGAGATTATCAATACTTATTGGTTGACTGATGCTGTGGCATAGTGGGTGAAGCTGCCACCTGCAGTGCTGGCATCCCATATGGGCGCCGGTTCCAGTCCCGGCTGCTCCACTTCTGATTCAGTCTCTGCTATGGCCTGGGAAAGCAGTAGAAGATGGCCCAAGTCTTTGGGCCCCTCCACCTGCATGGGAGACTCGGAGGAAGCTCCTGGCTCCTGGCTTTGGATCAGCACAGCTCCGGACGTTGGGGCCAATTGGGGAGTGAACCAGCAGATGGAATACCTCTCTTTCTGCCTCTCCTTCTCTTCCAAATAAATAAATAAATAAATCTTTAAAAAATACTTATTGGCTATAAAATACATGTTATTGGGGTGGGTGTTTGGCCTACTGGGTAAGCCACTGGTTAGGACATCCATGCCCCACACTGGAGTGTCTGGGTTCAATTTCTGGCTCTGGATCCTGATTCTAGCTTCTTGTTTATGCAGATTGTGGGAGGCAGCAGTGATGGCTTACATAGTTTAGTCCTGCAACCTATGTGGGACACTTGGATTCGGTTCCTGGCCCCTGGCTTGGACACCACCCCCCCAGCCCTGCTGTAGCTGTTGTGGTTATTTGGGGAGTGAAACAGCAGGTGAGAATTTTCTCTCTCTCAAATAAATTTTTTATAAACAAAAAAATACAGGGCCGGCATTGTGGTGTAGTGGGTAAAGCTGCTGCCTGCAATGCTGGTGTCCCTTATGGGCTCTGGTTCAAGTCTTGGCTACTCTACTTCAGATACTGGGAAAGCACCAGAAGACTGCTCTAGTCCTTGGGCCTCTGTTCCCACATGGGATAAGCTCCTGGCTCCTGGCTTCAGTCTGACCCAGCCCTGGCCACTGAGATCATTTGGGGAGTGAATCAGTGGATAAAAGATTTCTCTGCTTTTTCCTTTTCTCACTCTGTAACTCTGCCTTTCAAATAAATAAAATAATACTTATAAAAATGGAAAAATGTGTGGTCCTTGTGGAAAATTTAGAAAGGCTAAAAATTACTTATAATCCCCAATGATTTTCCTCCTCTTCTCTAAGTAGGTAAGACTCTACTTTTTAGAAGAGTATTTTATAAAATTAATTATTCATTTTTATGGCACAGGAAAAAATGTTTACAAATATTGATCTCTTTGAAAAATGGGATGACAATTCACAAATACTGTGTGCTCCAAGGTAAAGGAAAATTGTCAATTCATATTTGATTTCTAGTTCTTAAAACAATGCTTAGTAAGTAACTGGTTACTGAATAAAGAATTACCCAATAGGCTGCAGTGGACTGAAAAGCATGGCTACAAAGTTTCGCAGCCCCATCCATTAAGGTAGCATCTATTTCCTCTTCAGGCCTTGAGTCTGGACTGGCTTTTTCACTTGCTTTAGCCAACAGTGGTGAAATGCAAGATGCAGAGCCTGCCTCAAGAGGCCCTGCAGCTTCTCTCTCCTCTTGGGATGCTGGGACCACTCTAGCCATAAAGAAGCCCGATAAGAAAAGGCCAAGTGGAGGTTCAGCCTCCAACTGGCAGCTAGGTGAATTCAGTCATGGAAGTTAGTTCAGGCACAAGAACCACAGTCAACCCAAGAATTGTGAGAAACAATTACAGTTTTCAGTCACTTAGCTCTGGGGTGATTTGTTTCATAGCAATACATAATGGATCAATCTGGAAATGACAGACTGAAAAACTAAACATGGACAGCACTGTGTGGACTTCACTCACTGTATCATTCAGCTCTCAATAAAGGCACTCTATTTTCCCTACACCTACATTAAAATGTTTATACATGCTATCAGAGAACCTAGTCTTTTTCTTTCAAGCACTTAATTCACTTGTAATTTTGCAAACAAGAACACAACCATTTTAATAATACCTCGCCCTCTCACTAAACTATAAGTTCAATAAGTGTGAGTCCACGCCTGCTTTTACTTACTAGTTTTGCGTAACATAGCAATGGATCACAGCAGACACTAAAATATTTGTTGATATCTTAACATGACCAAAGGTTGAGATTTTATGAGGGTCTCAAAAAGTTCATGGAAAGTGGAATGAAGAACTAAGTGCATTTTGGTGCAAAAGTTTTGAAATCCATGCATAGCTTTTTCATGATACATATTTTTCATGAACTTTTTGAAGACATATATATAACTTTCTAATATAAGTTTAATCCTTGAACATCAAAACTTAAATATTTTATACATTTAGCAAGATTTATTTTTTATTTATTTATTTTTTATTATTTGACAGGTAGAGTTACAGACAGTGAGAGAGAGAGACAGAGAGAAAGGTCTTCCTTCCGTTGGTTCACTCCCTAAATGGCCGCTACGGCCAGCGCTGCGCTGATCCGAAGCCAGGAGCCAGGTGCTTCTTCCTGGTCTCCCATGCGGGTGCAGGGCCCAAGCACTTGGGCCATCCTCCACTGCCCTCCCAGGCCACAGCAGAGAGCTGGACTGGAAGAAAAGCAGCTGGGACTAGTACCCGGCGCCCATATGGGATGCCGGCACCATAGGCTGAGGGTTAATCAAGTGAGCCACAGTGCCAGCCCCCCATTTAGCAAGATTTTAAAATGTATTACAGACTTCCATTTCTTTGAGTAAAAAAAAGTCATAATTTTCCATAATTCAAGTATTTTTTCCCTTAGTACCATTATCTTTTCCTCCGCTGGTGATTCCCTGAGCAACTGTACAATTACTAAGAGCTTTAGGCAATATTCCCAATTTACTGTAAGTACTATAAGTACTGCTCTGCTAGTAGAGCCAACTATAAAGTATTTCAAATAAATTTGGTGGGTATCTACAAAGTGTTTACTATATACATAATGTTATGTATTTTTCACAGTAATTTTTTAAACAATACAGATATGGAGTCTAGTAGTTATAATTTAGCTTGGAATCTATTAGAAAATTAAAATATAGACACAGGTAAATCATAACATAGATGACACATGATCTTATTCCATACTGACATGAATATATTTTAGACATTAAGTGTGAGAGTATTTTGAGGTTCAAAGAAAAAAATGTGATAGTTCTAGACGAAATACAACATTGTAATTGAGCAGTTAACATAATCACATGATTCAAAATTCAAAAACAAAAGGCATGATTAGAAAAAGTTTTTCTTTCCTTTTCATCCCCATACTACTCATTTTATAACCAATACTATCTTCTCTCTTTCCAAATTATTTTCTGTATATAGTTATGTGCTATATGTCACAGTGCACTGCCATATAAGAGTGCTCCCATAAGGTCATTCTGGAACTAGAAGAGTTCCAGGTGAAGAGGCAAGAGAAAAGACAACCACAGGAAGAGACAGAGAAGAACCTCCAAGAAAATTCACAAAAAAGGGTTAAGTAGAAGCTTTTGCAATTTCTTTAAAAAGTCTGAAAATGAACTCTTTTGTTTTTAAAGAATTATTAATTTATCTGAAATGTAGAGTTACAGACAGAAAGAGGGAAAGATAGAGAAGTCTTCCATTTGCTGGTTCACTTCCCAAATGGCCACAATGGCCAGAGCTGGGCCCATCTGAAGCCAGGAGCTTCTTCCTGGTCTCCCAAGTGGGTGCAGAGGCCCAAGCACTTGGGCCATCCTTTGCTACTTTCCCAGGCCATTAGTGGGGAGCTGAATGGGAAGTGGAGCAGCTGGGACTCAAACTGGTGCCAGTATGGGATGCCGGCTCCTCAGGCAGAGGCTTAAACTACGCCACAGCACTGGCCTTGACAATGAACTTTTAACACCAAAAGTTTTCATTAATAAAGTGAAATGTCCATCTTGTATTATCAGTTTACAAGCATATCTATGATGTAAAAAAAGAAACAAACCAAGCAATAAAACATGGAAATACTTATGAAGATAGTAACATTTCCTCAAGAAGAGCCTCATGCAGATACTTCAGGAGGTGTTCAGAAGAAGGCATTGTTTCCAAATGAGATAAGGGCTCCATGTGTGCCACTGTTCCTGAGGATCTCCCAATGGCACAGATATGCAGGCACAAGACAGTGACGTTGATGATTCCGATCCTGTATAGGGCTAGGCTAATATGTATGCTGGTCTTGAACAAAAAATGTTTCTAAACACCAAAAATATAAAATGCTTACAAAATAAAGATACACAGAAAGACAATGTTTTTGAGAGGCAGAGAGAAAGAGAGTGAATGAGCTAGCTCTCAGCTGCTAGTTCACTTCCCAAATGCCCAAAACAGCTGGGAATGAATGGGTGGGAGCTGGAGCTGGAGCCAGGAACTCAATCCAGGCCTCACACATGAGTGGCAGGAACTCAATTTCTTGAGCTATCACTTTTGCCTCTCAGGTCTGCATTATTAGGAAGCTGGAATTGGATGCCAGGTCTCAAATCTAGGC